CAGCTGTGCTTGTTCTCAGTTTTGTCTCTGCATTTTGGGGGTGCATTGATCTGTTTACCAAACTTGGGTCTCTGCCTTCTTCGGATACCTCTGTCCCGCCTTCAGGGACTCCCCATTTATCTTGTTTAAGCAGGGATGAATTTTCAGCTGTTTTTTTCGGAAGATTCAGAATATGATTTTATTTTTTGCCCATATATGCACTTTAACCACTGTGCTACCAAAGGCTTAAAGTCTTACTAAACAATTCTTCCTTCTGGTCTACTTTTCATTTGAATTTGTGGTATTGTATTCAGTAGCCTTACTTTGCATTCACAAGAGATAATGTTCAGGTGATGTCTGCTTAATGCATAAAAATGCAAATGCGACCAAAATTATTGTCTATGTTTAACATTTGGATAATTATCATTCATTAGCAAGTTCTTTCCACTGTTGGATCTCCATCCACCGTTTTATGTATGTGGCTGGCCTTCAAGTGATTTGAGCAGTTCGTAATCATCCAGCACTTTCTATATGTCTAATTGTGATCACTGAAACACAAAATCGTTATAATGAAAATTTAAAAACATTTTTTTGCATGTGCAGTTTTAGTATATTGTACCTGGCAGAGTCTCTCTAAAAATTGAATGTTATAAAGCTCTGTTTGGGATTTCAGGATTTCTTCTCTTTCAAAGGTTTTCAGTAAATTACACACTGGAAATACCTTGTCCCCCCCCCCTCCCTCTATGCAGAGAACTGAGTATGAAGCTCTAATTTGAATTTTAAATCAACTGATTAGCCTTCATTAGCCCTTTGCCGAGGTTGTGTTCTGCTTTACATGTCTTCCTGTTGAGTCCTACTTTATGATGTAGTTGAATCTTGGTTATTATCTTTTGGGAATAGTTAATCATATGGCTCTAGTTAATTATTCTTTTAACATCATTATGTTTAATTAGCATACATATATCAATTGTTCCAGCCACATGCTGGGAAGAGTATGGTGTGTTACTAACAGTTGGCACAGTAATAAATGCTAGTTATTGCTCAATTCCTTTATTTGTCTTAAAATGGATTAATTGTATTGGTCAAATTCTGAGTAATAGGTGTGCTACATGTACAGAAGCAATAGAAGATTTTCCCTTCTATTCACTTTATAGGAACCGTTACCTGACTTACACCCCATCTCTTTGTTTTTAAATTATTTTGTTCTGTTTTAAAATGCTTTAATATTGCCCCAATAAGTCACAGAGTCTTCACATGTATCCTTTTTTTTAAAGGACACTGTATCATTGACTGATGTTTTTGTAACCTAAATGGCATCATGGATAGAGCCATAGTCACTTCTTATTTCAATAGAGAGCATTTATTATTTTTAGGAGAGTGGAATGATGCATTCTTACACAGTATAATTAACTACCTACACAGTTGCTGACTATTCTGGACCCGATTCTAGGAAACCAGCCAAGTAACACAGACCTCCTCCATCTTTTTTTTTGCTGTGCGTTCTTTCATGTTTGTGTTTGCAGTTAATATTTTCAGCGTATTCCGTGGCATTGACAGTAGATGTTATACTTTTGTGAATATTGTTACAAGATTTTAGCCTGGTGTGCCCTGTCCCCCGTTGTCCTGTTTGTTTTTTGTTTATCTCTTAAGTTAATGATAGAAATAGTTTTTAAGGTCTATCTTGTAAATACTGTTTTCATTCAAATATGTGTTTTGTAAATTACAGATTCTTAATAATATAGTACAGTATGATACATGCAGTTTCAAATGACTGTCTCCAGAGTAATTTCCTAGTAGTTTCAGGATGACTTGCTGCTCGCAGATTCTCCTGAATATTAGTAAGTAAATTATTTCAATCCAAATCTAATTCACAACAATTCTCTATACACAGCTTTCATGAGTGTTTTGATGTTTAGGCAGCATAAATAAAGGTGGTATCTGTATTATGCCTTGGCAGATATCGAAGAGACACTTAATTCTATAAGTAAATCATTTTACTTCAGTTTTCATTATTCTTTTTACTGCAGAGCATGTTTTATTATAATACTTGTTTTTGCAAATATAAATGATCAGAGGGGCTATTCTACTCACACAACCTTAACGTGCACCTGTGCCCAGACTACAGACATTAAATTATTTACATATTCTTAAGCAGTAAAATAGTTTTAATCCCTGACCTCTCTAGCTCATTTTCCTGTGAAGTAATTAACTCTCAAAGATCCTCAGTGATCACAATAAAGACTCTAAGGTCCAGTTTCAGTTGTTTTCTAACCAATTGGAAACACGTGCTGTGTGTTTACATAAAAGGCTGGCAGGGTGTCAAGAGTCTGGTTCAATAGAAAATATTAGGAGAAAAAAAACCTAAGATGTCTGTTCCTTTGTTGTGCACACTGAATAATATCAAAGAAATGCAACATATAAGCAGATTAAACTTCAGCTTTAAGATTAGGTTAAGTTTAAGGGTTAGATTTTAAGGTAGGTTCAATTCCCAAAGCCTCAAGGAAGGATGAGGGTTATCTTTGTTTAGCTATTCCTCCATGCAAAATTAAATTAATAATTCTAGGTTGAAGCATTTTTCCAAGGACCAGTAATCCTAAATTAGACAAATTACAGTAATGTGACAGCTACTAATTGTACTAATTACAAAAAGGTAAATGTACCTATCAAGGAATCACGCCCACAGTGACTCACTATCTGGAGTGAGTTCTTTGTTTGGTGGAGGAGGAATGAGGAAAGAGTCTACTTTGTGTTGGTTCAACAGGGCTGTGAAAGAGTTATCACAGCCTGTTTTACCACCATCCACCACTGGTGGGAGAATAACCCAATCTAGATGGCTGAACACACACACACACAGGCAGATGCAAATCTTGCATAAAATCTGGTGCACTTTAAGGGTTGTAGAGCAGCCTAGTGATTCCCACACACCTCGGAGATTCCCTCAAGCTATCCTGTGAGCTAGAATCCTTGTGTAATCACTTTTCCCAGTGTACACACACACACACACCCCAGACACACGACACACAATTTAGTGTAACTTGCCAGATGCTTCTACCACACGTGATTCGTTTTACACAGCCCTACTGACTTGAAATCATGGTCATTTTATGAAAGCTTGCTTTGCTATAAATGTAGGATAAGTTAAAACTAGGAACCCCTAAAGAACTCACTAACCATTGTTTGCATTTGAAATGGGGGTTTATCACTGTAGTTATTTGAAAAAAATGTACATGGAAATCCTATGCCTTTCTATTAGGCACGGATAGACCAGTTGGATTTCTGACCACTGCTTCCGACTTCAGATGTTTTATATAAAATCCAGTGTTCCCAGTTGTTCCTTAGTGAAAATGGAAGTGTAAAAATTGTACATGTCTTCTAAATGCTGGGAAGGTCCTGGATGCAGTCTGCCCTGGATTAGCACTCTGCTATTCCATTGTGCTGGTGGCCAGGACACCTGCATTATTGAAATACATGACGCTGTGTGAACATTTGAAGGCACCCTGGTTAAGAAAGGCTGGTGTATAGCATGAATTGGATGTTAATGGATGAATATTATAGATGTCACTTTTACCCTTTTATGACAAGAGACTTGTTACTTTTTTTAATCTTTGTAACTGTCATGATTCTGTGCACAGCTAACTTAGGCTAAGAATATTTATTCATACCAGATCCCTGCAGTACATCTGAAAACCATAAATACACTAGCTAAGCGATTTAGTGTAACTGTGCTTACATCTCTCTGCTGCACCGTCTACATAATCATGCCATGTAGGATGTTCATTTATTCTTTCCACTGTATTAGATGTATTGCCTCAAAAGCTACTGTATTACCTTTGCAGTCCTACTGTCAATGGTACTGAAACAATTTTGTATGATTAAACTCCATTATTTACTTTAATGCCGAAATGATGTTTTAGGGAATCCATTATATATGTGTTAGCATTGTGCAGCTGGCTGTCAAGTAAATATAGATTAACTTGCAATAGTGTGACTGTGCTGAACTACTGATAAGGTCATATGAAAAGCAGCACATAATAAATCTTTGTGCAGTCCTAACAAACTGGATACATTCCATGTCACAAAAATTGTGATTCTCTACATCTCGGCATGACCATTAAGGGTTGGGGGCTTTTAAAAAAAGATCCAGTGGCAAAAAACACACTGCAGGACTTTGAGAAATTACGTCTTCATCGGACTCTGTTTTGTTTTGGTTTTGTTAATTTATGCAAGCTCATGAATGCTAAAGTAGCAACTGCTGTAACTTTTGTGCGTACTTCTTGTCTTTGGTCCAATTCCAATAAGAGATCATTCTTAAGTGTTATTAAAAGAATAAAAATAAATGGGAATATTGGAAGTAGATTGATGGTAGCACGCTGCTTTGTGTAGATAATTGCTCCAACATGTATGTGTTAAAAGCTGTGATCAGCCATGTTCGAACAGGAAGATTTATATGGGTCATTACTTTGGCTGATTCTAGCCTTTTCCCCAGAACAACTGCTCTTCCAGATTGCTAATGATCAACCAGTGAAATATATATATAGGGAGAGAGAGACAGCTAATGATACAGATTAATTGGGAGTGTGCACAAGGAACAATGGCATCTTGTTTATTTTTTTTAATTTGAACACAATGGGAATTGATGTAAGATGCATTGGCTTAATGTACTATACTAAGAATCATGTTTTCTGTTTGCTCCATATTGTATTTGCAAAACCATAGAATGCTGTCAACCAGCCAACATCAAGAAGAATACGTTACGCCTAAACAATACCCCTTCTGTACATTCTGATTCAGGTTCACTTACTGTAATGGGCATCAACAGTGCATTCACAAATATATTCAATCCTGAGAGTTTGCATGCCCTGTTTCTTTGATATTTTCAGTGCTTCAGGCAGAAGTTGTGTACGTGCATCTTCAGTTATGTTATGTTTTCGTATGATAACTTAAGAGGCTACATAGCACAGAGATCTGTAATGATGAATTTTCATGTGCGAGTGAATTCATTCTCATCCTTTTCTGAACAGGTGACAAGAGAGTTAAAACAATATGACAATAAAATCATAGAGTGCAAGTTTGAGAATAACTGCTGGGTCTTCATGCGGCAAAGAGTTGATAAAAGCTTTCCAAATTCCTACGAAACAGCTCTGGGTGAGTACAACTTCTCTGTCAAGAATGCATTTGCCGTAATTCTTCTTAGGGGTCTTGTAGTTTGTCCTCTGTGGTTGTACAATGTAAATTCCAGGGAATTTATCAGGGAGCCACAGGTACAAGCCAGGCATGTGTATGGGTGCCCAACCCTGAATGTCAACTGTTTGAGGTCGGGGTTGTTTGCCCATACGGATGCATTTGTTTATGCAATTCTGGTGTACACCCACATACAGCCATTAACTTCTATGGGAGACTGTATGCAGCGCCTGTAGTTGCCTTTTGATCGGAATACATCGGAATTAACATTGTACAGCCACAGCCAGCTGTGTACAAAAGGAATTCCTTAAATTAAACAGGATTTCTACTAGAGGTGCCTGGATACACAGACCCAACAGTGTCAATGCCATAAGGGCCTACTACATAATCTGCTTGCACTTTATTTTTTAAGGTTTGGACATTGGTAACATTTAAACATGTGTTGCATGGTCTTTTACTATCAGATGTATTCTAATTTGGCTAGTGTAGAAAAGCAGACAATATTTCAGTTATTACAGCCCTTATTCTTAATGTGTGTGGTCTTACGCTGACTGAATGCATTTATGAAATAAAGTGCTTCAAATTTGAATTTGTATAAATAAACATAACTCAAGGCAGATAACTTCAAAAAAATTAGCCTCTTGTGGTAGAACTGTATACATTTCAGAACTGCATGGACAGACATACAAATCCTTTGGCAGGTAAAACAACACCAATATATGTATTTTATCCTTGCATTTAGCTGTTTGCCTGGAGTTCAACTTTAACATTTTAATTATTTGGTTAGGAGGGGGAAGTCAAGCTTAGTTTGCACATGTTACTTATCACTGTGGTTCTGTTCCACTGATTTTTCCAGTGTAGAATCTTTCTTTAAACACCTATAGATCTCATTGCTCTCTGACTCCTTATGCCTGCGTCATGAAAATCCCACAGATTTCTATAGTTAACCACTTAAAAAAACCTGTCATTAGAGAAACATAGAAGCTGCCATTTCTGACTTCTCTTGTAAAATGTGGTTTGCCTAACTGTCATGCTGATTCTTTTGCTACAATACATTGAGTTACTGGCACAAAATAAGTATGTGGATAAAAAGAGTCCTGACCTTCCTAATCTGCTGGCTGGTTCCTGGTCAGTAATATAAATAGTAGGTCACTGGGCCCCCATATTTCTTGAAAAGCTGTGTCGATAGGCTTTTTTTCGTGTCAGGTGGGTTTTTCTTTCTCATACACGTGTATAAGGATGCAAAACTCGCATGAAGCAGGTCAAATGAAAGTTAGAATGAGCAAAAAATGCATCTGTCACAAACTAATGCCGTTGACATAAGCCTAAACACCATGAACAAAGGCCTTACAGGCACAAGGCACTGCAGGATGATAGCATCTGTAAATATTCTACAACAAACATTTACATTGGCTGCATGGGATGCTGAGGTGACTTTTCACATTTACTCTGCCTCCTTTGCATTACGGTGGGAATACTGTACCATCTACTGTAAAACATAAGAACAGAATCATGTGCAGACTCAGCCATATTGTGATTTAAATTGGAAAGTATTCAATTCTCCAGAATGGGAATACTGTACCATCTACTGTAAAATAAAAGGACAGAACCATATGCATAATCTGCCATATAGTGATTGATTTGCAAAGTATTAGATTCTCCATATTCACAGAAAGTCGCAAATTAATTTGCTCATCTAAAGCAACCAGTGACCTGCCGCTCTCTTTGAAGTTGCTCCGGGCTGCCTCTCAGCAGGTGTTCAGCTTTGAATTATCTGACTATGTGACCACCTACTGTTTTATAAACTTTTAATAAACATGAAGCCAAGGAGAGTTTAATTTTATATAATTTCGCGAAAGTGTTTTCCCTGATTAAGTAAATGTCCAACCCATTAATCTTGTATACTGTAAATTGACTTCAAACATGTCTCAAACAATGTTAAATATACAGACATTAGATGGTGGTGAGCAACTCAACATTTTTTTCTAAAGTTCTTCCTATAAACATGCACGTTCACATTGCCTGTGCATGAATGGTTGTTCCTCTAGAGCCATGGTTCTCAACTGGTGGGTCACGACCCAAAGGTGAGTCACCATCCCGTGTTCAGTGGGTTACTGTGTGCCTTACACTATGCTAGGTAAGGGGCTCCCCCTAGCGCAGCACTATCATATTGATAATATGCTGCCCGGTGCCAAGTGTCAGCTTGGGGTGGGTTGGGAGTATGGCCGCGATAGAGCTCCATGCACATACGTGCATTGCTTACAGCTCTTTTGCGTGTCCTGTAGAGGTAGCTGGACCGGAGTGATGTCACATTCTGGCTCCCAGCAACTCTACCGGGCACACAAGGGAGCTGTGCAAGCAATGCACACATGGATGCAGCTTTGTCACAGCACAGCAGCCCACACTGGACCCCAGGCTGAGGATTCACTGCAGTTCTTCTAAGGTAGGGAGACTAGGTGTGTGTGTCTGTCTGTCTGTGTTTTTGAGCGCCTGTTCACACTACAACAGTGCGTTAATCGCAGTCTCATGTATCATCGCACCTACTTCATATTCTGGTGCGTTAGCTGCATTGTGATTAAATGGCACCCCAAATGTACCTCTGGCCCAAGGACCAATGACAGATGTGGGCCCTGAGGTTACACGGGTTGAGAACCACTACTCTAAAGAATGGAAGGGGAGTGCTACAGATGGTGGCTGTCTGGGAAAAAGAATTGTGATTAGCCAGGAAAATCCATCCCAGTTGATCTTCTATCCCACAAGTAGGCTTGGTAAGGGAGGGGCAGCCAGGATTGTGTTCACACAGTTCGCCAATGACTTTAACTACCTTACGTCCATGGCCGTTTGTGAACGGCCAGATGGACATAGATTGGGTAAATATTCTCAGTTTGTAGACATATTTTATTAAATTAATTGTTTTTATGTTTAGAGTAATTGGTGAATTACTCTAAACATTTCTAGACTAAAAAAGTGTGCAGACAGGTTACAGTTCATTAGAAGAATCTCAAAACAATGCTTCCATTGCTTACCTTTTTTTTTTTCTGAAATTGCTGGTTGCCTGCCTAATTGAAAGGCCTGAACAAGTTTGCAGATCAGTACTTTTCTGGCAGCATGCTTGTTCCAAGTTAGTGGGTCAAAGTTAAGAAGAGACGGAGATGCCCAAATAGCATTTCCAG